ACCTCTTCGGAGAAGCTCGACGGTTTCTCACAATCAAGAGCTGTGGGAGAACTTTGTTGGCCAATTTCAGTATTTTGTGCAACTTGATGTTCATGCACATCTTCTTCTACACTTCGTGTGGCGTCATCCTGCCCATGCCCATCAGGCAAACTATCACCAATTTCACCAGAAGAAGGCACACTTTCGACATTCTCCGAAGACCCATTTTGGTTTTCATGGACATCTAAGCATTGCGAGGCCTCGTCATCCTTCTCATGCACATCAGGAAAACCATCACCATTATCGCCAGAAATAGTCATCTCCTCGATTACCGTATCTGGCTTAATTTCAGATTCCAGACATGATGAAACTGTTGAAGGATCTTCCTGATTCGGATCATCTCTTGAAACTTCCAGAGGAATCTGATTCAATGATTCCTCCGGCATTTCCACCTCCTGATCCGTATTATCATTTACCACATTATCGTCGTCATCATCATCATCATTATAATTAGTATCCTTCTCAACTCCAATATCAGATTCCTGATCTTTTTCAACATCTTCAGCCAAGCCTTGTTCATCAGAATTCTTCACAGCAATATCGGATTCCTGAATATCTTCTCCTCCTTCCTGAACCTGGCCATCATCAGCGACCTGTGACGGTGGAGAATTGAACTCATCCGCCGATCCCGAAACCTTGGTATCACGACCGACATTGTTTTTCTCTTCCACCTGAAATTCTTCAACCGGCTTATTATTGTCATTGGCGAGATCGGACTCAACAAGATCATCACCGTCGTCGTGGCCAGTGACGAAGACGTAAGAGCCATCGACGTCGTCCTTATTGCCATTGCTTTTGGGAAGGAGATCCTGAGTAGGCCCCACCACGTCGAAGCCAGAACGCTGTTCACCGCCATTGTTAGCAACAACAACAACCTCAACCTCCTCAGATTCACGAACCTCGCCGTGATTGTGGTTGCTCACATCAATGTCGGTCGTCATTATTGCTCCAAAGTCTAAACTCGATCTATCTAATTTCAATTAACAATTTCACAATTATGCTTCTTCGTTAGCAGGTAACGATTTTCTTGTTTTTTATACATCAACACCATAATTCATGAGAATTATAATTTTTTTTTCTTTTCAGAATTACGAAGCAGAAAAAAAGAGAAGGAAAACAAAATTGAGAAACGGAGGAGAGAACTTACCGGTGAAAAATCAGATCAGATCGAGGGGGGAGATCAGGACACTAATGGCGGAAAATATTGCCAATTATATAATTATATATATATATATATCTATAGAGAGAGAGTGGTTGGTGTTGATGAGCAAGAACAAAAAAAAAAACAGAAAGAAAGGAGAGGAAGAATGAAGAAGCCAAGGTGATTGTGAATCTGAGAGAAAAGAACGCAGGCTCTCTCTCTCTTGTGCTCCTCTCTCTCTTCTTCTCGTTATATACTTCCTCCTCGATTCAAATTACAGCTCCGACCCCCCTCATATTTTTTTTTTTTAATTTGGCAATTTCTGCGGTAGAATCTCCACAAAATAACGTTAATTTATGACCGTTCGATTTTGAAAAAAAAAAAAAAAAACACAGTAAAGTTTGTTTTCTCATTGCCTATGAGAGATGACCTTTTTTTTTCAAAATATATTTCCTTTTAATTATATTGATTAACCACAAAAAAATTCCTGTAATTTATTTCGAATTTACAAGATAATACTCGAGATATACAGATATGTAACACATTTTTGAAATGAGACGATATGATATGATGATTTATTTCTTATTTTTTTAGAGTTTTTTTGATAATCTATCTTATTGATAATTATAATTTATCACCATTAAATTTAATTAAAATTACATCAAATACTAATAGTATATTTTTGTAGAGACTATTAGAGAAATTTCTTATTTCTTTTATTTGAATAAAATATCTTAGATATAAATCTAATGTTTCATCAATTTAAAAATAAATTTAGGAAGGAGTAAATGAGTTGAAAAAAAAAAGAAGAGAGAATAAAAAGAAAAAAAAAAACAAAATTAGTCGAATTCCTTCAAGCTGTTGTTCACATTTGAGTTAGGCATTGTTCATTTCACAACGCAAGTCACAACTCAAGTTTTATTACTGCAGTATTTTCTTTCACAAGAATTTAAATTTAACTTTTTCGTTACAGTGTTTTTCTCTCACAAATACAATTCAAATCATAACTCAAATTATGACTTGAGTTGTAAAATGAACATACCCTTAGGCCCCGTTCTTTTTGCTGATTCGAGTTTAGAATTCAAGTTTTGCTACAGTAAAAAGCTCTCAAAAACAGTCATATCTAACTTTTTTATTTCAGTAAAAAACTATCACACAACATCATATCTCAACTCGAATTAGCGAACCGAACGAACCCTTAGTATTTTCTTAGCTTGGAGTTTGATATTTCGAACAACTAATAATAACCACAAAATAATGGCGACATAACGATGAAAAAAAAATTATCATAATTTTTTCATTTTTCATTTAAAAATTGATTCTCATTTGTCTTTTTCTATGACCCTAGTAGATTGTCAAGAAATTTATGTAACATTAGTTTCAAGTGTTCATTATGGTTCGTGATTTTATTACGGTATTTTTCTCTCATAAAAAATTTAAATTTTAAAAATTAAAATTATGAATCATGGTTCTGAATTTATAAGTAGACGTATGATTTACGGATTCAGAATTATGATTCAAAATTATTCTCAATTTACGTGATACTGTAATGAACTACGAACTATAATTTAAATCATAATACGAATTCTCGTACCAAACACCCTCTGAATCAAATGTCACGTTATTCTGACACCCAAATGCTTGAGTTAGACTAAGGGGCAATCTCCTCCTAATTGCTTGATTAAATGGTTGGGGACTATTAATTACGATCTCTTTTTTTCGACCTTCAATATTTGATGAAATTTGCATGTGGATAATGATCTATTTAAGACGTCTTCTCATAGCATTTAGTTTAAATAATATATTCCCTCACTAAAAATTTAAATTTAAAAAGTTCTCTTATCACAAAATTTGAATTCTACTTCAAACTACCTGGATTGAAAACAAACTACGAACTCCCAAATTTATATATGGACAAGCTTTGAAGCCTTCTTAACCCAATAAAACTTCAAATAAAGTAATAACCTAAAATTCACTTATATTATAGGAACTTAACAAATATATAAAAATATGAAACTTATGTTTCTTTTTTATCAAAATAACAATAATAATAAAGGATATTTTCTAAAAAAAATAAAGGAAATTAACGTGGAATTTACCTTAGTAAATCATAATTCTACATATAATTTCTCAAAATAAATATATATCTATTTATAATTATTGGTAGGTTGGAATATGGAAGTCCAATTTAAGAAATAATAGCTCAATTGTGAACAACATCCCAAAACAAGAAGGAATTCAACTAAGTTTGTTTTGCATTATTATCATTATTATTATTTTCTTTCAAAACTCGTCTACCAGATCCTAAATTTCTTTTTAAATTGAAGATTAGATTTATATTTGAGATTTCTTTCACAAATAAAAGAAAAAAATGAGTAAATTTTTACATCATTTTAAAAATTATAATTTTATATCCGAATATCTCGATTACTATCTTGCAAATTTGAAATAAATTACAAGAATTCTCATGGTAAGAATTACCACATAACAAAAAGAATCATCCACAAATTATATTTAACAAGGAAAAAAAAAAACAACAAATGGGAATGGGCCCAACAATAGCCGCCGAACCGCGTGAAAGTGAAGGCTATAGACCTTTTCCAAGAGTCGTATTCAAACTTTTTTTTTTTTTTTTTTAATGTAATGTAATGCCAATAATTTAGTTAATAATCCCCTGAAAATAAGATTTTTTTTTTTTAGAAAATCCCTGAAAAATAGTTAATACAAAATAAATGAAATGAAAACGTTGGCGTTTAGCTACTTCGCGACAGGACAATGACATCTACACTTTTTTTTTTTTTTGTTATTCAATATCTCCAAATATATTTCGTATAATATAATAGCAGCATAAAACCCGTGAGGGCAGGATCCGCTCCTTAACTGCCTCGTGAATATTATTTTATTTTTTAAACAAATTTTAATTGCTTATTGATCTCACAATTCCTTTCCATTTCCATTTTTCACCAAAAATTCCCTCCTCAACACCAAAACCAAATTCATATAGAGTCCCTTTTTAAGACGTTGTTTGCAGAGAGGAAAAAGTGAAAAGAGTAAAATCAATTGAATACTTTATGGATGAATTTTATCAAAACAAAAAAAAAAAAGAATGGGTAAGCGCATCCACTGTTTAAAGAAAAAAAAAAGCAGCTAAAACGATTATTAAGGGAAAAAAACATGTACTAAAACAATAAATAAATTTAAAAAACATATAGCTTTTTTAAAATAATTTATAGGCCGATAATTTAAAAAAAAAAAAAAAAAGCTAAATAGGACATTTTTTTTTTTTTGGCTGAATTAATAGGACGACTTAATAAGACGGGTTTAGCATACAGCCGAGCAGCGCAGGTAAAATAGCAATGCAAACCATACAAGTGCAATATTAATGTAATGCATGTATCTTAAAGAGTACAACAAGATTAATTAATTCAATTAGTAATGTCATCAGTTAGATTAGAAAAATCAAGAGTGAAAATCATTTCCTAATCTCTTTTCATCGTATGATATGTGTATATATATATATATATATATATAATATGCCAGCTTGTTGGTGATAAGGATTGACAATAGGCATAACACCATCTACTTAATATATATACATATATATATATATATATATATAGATTTATAAGTATAGCTTTGACACTTTTTTTTCCCCTTGTGGAAACAAAAACAAAATAGAAGTAATAATACTTCAATAAAAAAAAATAATAAAAATATGGGTGTGAATTTCCGGCAACTATACCCACGATTGAAATCAAGAATCTGCATCATCAATTATCCATGTAATGCAGTAATGCCTGGTTATGATATAACTAAACATTACTTGATAAACTACTTAATATGAAGATTTACGAATACGTCTCTGTCGTCTTAACTCATTAGTAATGCCACTGATAAAGAGTCTAAGCGTTATAATAAATATACACATATATATAGGTCTTTAATAAAACGGGCAAGGGTTTAATTCGAGGTCATAGACGTGATATTTTTCAGTCTTTGGAATAGGCCGAAGAGCATATGAATATGATAAAGGAATAAATAATAATAGGATAGTGATCTTAAAGTTGATAAGGAATTTGGCAGGCCTGCTATATGCCAAGGCATGACATTTCAATGTGGTCCCTATTCATTCTCAGTCGGCTAGGTTATTTATTGTTACTATTGATATTCTTTCTTTCTTTTTAAAAAAAAAAAAAAAAAACACTATTACTGTTCATACAATTTACTTGGAAAGGATTTTCACATAATTAAGTAAAATTAAGTAGTTTATCTATACTCATGTTACTTCAAATTCTCATATTTTCATTTGATTCTGTTGGATTATATGTGTGTGTGTGTCTATGTTATTTTCACCTGATTTAATATTGTGAGACGTGTATTAATAAATACTAATGTTATACCATGAAGAATGAGAAAATTAGGACGTGTGCCATCCCTTAAGCCTGTGGATGAAAATTATGCCATCAGCCATCAAGTAAAAGTCTTTTGCAATTCATGTCATAGTTCTTTGTTGAAAATGACATATAAGTATGCTTTAATGTCGTTGAAATATCCAACTCGTGAGATATTATCCATCTCGTTGGCTTATTACAAAACAACAGTGAGAAAATCTCTTTTAACTCTTTACAGCACCGTGAAAAGAAAATAGCGTTAGCTATAAATTATCACGGCAGGATATCTGCGAATACCGACCTACGGCGATTGTCAAAAATTTTAATATGGTTAAGTAATACCTCTACATACCAAGGTAGGATACTAGTGGTATCTTAATATGATACAATTAAAGTTTTTTTTTTTTTTTTTTTTTTTTTTTGGGAAAATTAAAGGTACTTTTGACATTTTAATTATAACGACATGACAATTTTTTGCCGTAACCAAACTTTTTCTCATGTCATAAAACAATTTAATGCATGAAATTGTGACGTTTCACTTTTTATGTCCTGAAAAAGGATTGAAGAAAAATACATATATGGTTGTAAATATGTTTTGCTCTTTATTAAAAAGGAAAATGGCACGAGGAGAATGATGGCAGTGTCACAGTGAAGACGCGTGGTGATGACAATACTTGGATAAAAAGAGCTTCGTCCTCTACTGACACTTTCAAGTCATTTTGGACCATTTTACCATTCCTCAAAAAAAGGTCATTTTGGACCATTTTTCCTCTTTTTTTTTTTTTAGGTGGTTCACATTTTCCTTTTCTTTATATTTTAGGGGAACATGGAAAACAAGGTGGTTTCCCTGCAAAAGAAAGCCATCCATGTACATTTTATTCATCGTACATTTTCTAATTGGCCATTCGCCAACACATCATGTGATGTCTCATTACACAGGAAGCCAATTATGGTAAGACGAGAGAATTCTAGACCCTATTCTAACGTGAAGTTTGAATTAGTGATTACTGCTACATTACACATCTTTTTTCTTTAAAAAAAAAAAAAAACATTTTTGCATGTTTTTGTCTTATAAGGGGTAATAGCCACTATAAATGAAAAGAAACTTAAAAAAAAAAAAAAAAAAAAAGGATTTAAAAAGGGAAGAACGGGTTGCCATTTATGCCAAAGGCATTTCTGAGTCTCACCGACAGCACATCTACACGCGCAAGTATTAATATTGTGGTCAACTAATTCTCCAAATAGGTTCTTTGAATCAGAAACGTTGATTCACGGCTCAAATGTTCATCGTCAATTCGACAAAAAAATAAATACATTATAAAGCGTCAATGGTAAAGCTAAAAAAGTGGCAAGAGTTTAAAATGCACGCCACTAAGGGTGAGGTTAGGATTGACTTTTCACTTGTTGGTTTCGTATCAATTATATTAATTTCCTGGGCAAATGCCATATAAAGTTTGATATTTACTCAAAAACTAATCACTTGCCGTTGGTGGTCCTTTCTAGTTTTTCCTCACAAAAAAGATGACAAAAAGGGCATTTCTTGCTTTGAAAATGCATTAATCCCTGTGAATATGTTGGTTTTTACTTCTAAGCGATCACTTTGGATTTGTATTACAAACACAACTGTACCCAAAGCTTTGCGGCATGAGTCTAGAATCAATTCCCAAATTGACCTAAACTATTGAGCCGGAGAGAGACAAGTTCACAAGAGAAATGGCCACAAAATGTAAGCTCCAATTAAGTCTAGAAACGTGGTTGGTTGGAGCGACTACATCTCATAAGAAAAAACACGAGTGATTTTGTCTTCATTTTGTAAGACAATCATAAAAATGACAAGACTTTAAAATATAGTAGCAGCAATCCAAACTCCCCACATGAGACCACATGCAATGGCACTCCTCTGTTCACACACAACTCTGTTTATGTCTCAAACATGTGCATTTTCCCCCCAAGATCCCAAACTATATATATTATTTTTCTAAGAACATTATTTGCTGTCCTTTTTTTAGTATCAATACATTAATTAAAAAGACTTATTCTACATGAGATTATGGAATATGCTATTTTGCAGCTTGTAACTACTAATCCCCGCGTTCAAAGTTGACCCCAAATTTCAGCAACCCTTACAAAAAAAGGAAAGAGGGGTTTTTTTTTTAAAAAAAAAAAAAAACAATTATTAGATGAAAATAAACAATATTATCTCTCCCATAGTCCAACCTTACACGGTTTCTAATTTCTCTCTGAGTTTTTTCTACTAATAAAAGTCTTAATTTTATTGAGTCATTGACAGCTCTATCCATCTTTTTATTACTTATTTTTTACAGCTCCCGAATTCAACATGTTGCTAATTCAAGCAGCAAGCACACATACTATGGCTTGTTTAGGTGAGAGCTTCTTGTGGAAGATTCTACGAGTGTTCATATGACCTTTCATAAAACCTTTAATCTTCAAAAAGAGCTTCCAGACAAAAGCGATATGACACAGTTTCTTTGGAGAAAAAAAAAAATAGCAAATAAAGAAACTATTCTAAAATACTATAGAGTAACGAAATTTCAACAATATTTTATAAACTTCCTTAGAGCATTCTTATTGATTAGTATATAATTTTATTCCATTGATAGCTTCTTATTTCTGCTGTTTAAAAGTATAAATAAAGGTCATATTGCCAAATGAGCCATAATGGTATTTGGATAGGCAGCTCAAGACCAAACTACAGATCCACAACCAGATTTTTATGGGCCTCTACAACAAGCCCGGAATGAACTAGTTGTGACGGGGCTTGACCTCCAGATTCCAAGACTTGATAATATTCGGATATGCAAAAGCCTAAAAGCTTAGTTGACAAACTCATGGATTCTGAAGATGGTATACAAATCAATTAAATTGGAGGAACTATTTACTGGTGCAAAGTTGTGCTCAATATGTACATACACTATACAAATGCAAAATCCTAAAAGCCCTCAAAGACAGGCAGAGTTAGTGATTAAGCATGGAAAGAAGGTTGTTGTGAAGAGGATCTGAAACATGATCAATAAGGTTCTGAATGGGACCTTTACCAGTGAGCGCTGCTTGGCTGTAAAAGCCCAACCAGGCAACCATGGCGAGCCGCCCGTTTTTTATCTCCTTCACCTTCAGTTCCTCAAAGGCTACAGGGTCCTTTGAGAGGTTCAATGGATCAAACAGTGCTCCTCCCGGATAGTTTATGTCTCCCGGTAGATAAATTCCAAGAGGTTCCAATGCCTCAATCCCACAATATCTTGCATATTCTGGCCCAACCTATTCACCCAAACAAACCGCTAACACATCAACAAAATTATTCAAAGAAGAATGTGAAACATGAATTCTTCAAAACCATCTACTTGTTAAACCAAAACCTGTATCAGTATAGAATTTCAATGCATGAACATACAGCTTAGTTGTAGATGGGAGCTTCATAAAGTAGTCAGTTACCATCAACAGGGCTTGGCAAATCGCAATGACAATCACTCCTTGGCTTCCAGCTAAGTGGAGTCCCGGGATGCCTAGATAGTCCAATGTATCTCCCTGGACAATTTAAATAAGCAAAAGAAGGAAAATGAAAGAAACAAAGAAAAGTCAGTGACCAAGTTCAGGAATCCATCAGAATTGACAGGACATAGGAGCATACCGTTACATATCAGCCTCAGTCAAAATAAATACATTAAAGAAAAACATCCCACAACAGATGCATGACTGTTTTATTCAGCAAACTATTTGGCATTTGGCACATCATAATATAGTCCATTATTGTACTATACAAATAACAAATTGGTGGATACTAAAGTAAACAAATAGATGCATATCAACTTTGAAGGATATTCTTAGAAGATAGATATAGATATGAGAAACGCTAACCTTGAGTTTTGAATAGCCAACTCGCCACCAGACAGGTTCCACAAAGTGAAAGGCACCTAAGAGGTCTAATATTTCTGGAATCACCACACCAAGAGCTGCCAGCATAGCCCAACGGGCATGCAGTATTTCAAAGCTGCAGCATAATGAAGAACAACTCACAATTCAAACATATATGTGTTAGACCTCCAGCCCTCAGGTTTGTGTATGCCAGAAGAAGGAGTAAGAATGTGCAGGGGCAGGAGGGGAATGTGATTAACACTGAGTCAGGGCAAGGGTAGGGGGCGTTTGTTAGGATACGGTTATGGGTTATGGGGCTGTGTGCAAGGGTAGGATATTGGGAAAGAAGTTAGTTAGAGGATATGGGAATAAATAGTCCTCGGGTACAGAGGAAAAGGCATTGAGAATTAAGAATTGAGTCTGTGGAGGTTTGGAGGGGTCCTCGAATTCTCCTTCATCTTTTTTTACCAGTTCTTTATTTTGTTTCCCTGCTCTTGTTTTTTTCCATCGTGATTCAATAAAAGGAACCAGGCCATTTTCCTGGTTAGTTTTCAGAGTTCTTGTTGTTCTTCTTAGCTTAATTGCTCCAAGGTGTCTAGAACGAAGGGAGTCCTAACAATATGTGGCATAACTTTGCTAATATCAAGTCATATCAGAAAAGTTTGACCAAACACATAGTAGAAGTACTTTACAGAAGTGGGAAATAGGAGGCCTGCAAATATGCAAACCATGCTCTAGAAAACATCGTAGTAAACATGACAAGTTTTAACATTTCCTATTAGATCTCAAAGGAAACTGCTAGTAAAAACTTGCCAAACGACATTCACATAAGAAGATAATATAAATTGAACAGTGAAGTTCTGTGGGGTGAATAAATCAAGACACAAAACGCAGATGCATACACTAAGTGCAAGAAAAAATTTACGTACTTAAAATACTTTTGGAAAGCCACAGAATCCTTGCCGAGACCTGCAATGTCGAAACCGTAATCCCCAGGTAGCTCTCCTGTAAGATATGCAGGATAATCATATGGAATTGGACCAAGCCAGCGGGGACGCTCT